GGCTTGCTTTTATGTTGTGCGTGCAGATTTTGATGTACTGGGAGTCTACGAATAAAGTGCTGAGGGAAGAAAAAGAAAAGCGTCTTAATTAGTTCAGCATCAGCTCTTGCTGCTGCTGCTCCTCTTGCTGCTGCTGCTGCTGCTGCTGCTGCTGCTCCTCTTGCTGCTGCAGCCGGCGTTTTGCATGCATGTACTGAGCAGGAGTGGGTGGGGCCCCACAGAAGGCCCGCAGCGGTGCTGCTGCTGCTGCTGCTGTTTTGCTAAGGGTCGCCTCCGAGCCCTGCAGCGCTCTGATAACATCTGCATAAAGCTGCAGCACAAACTGCAGCAGCAGCAACAGCAGCAACAGCAGCAACAACAGCAGCAACGACGGAGACGATGAGCATAAGGGCAAGGATCGGAGGGCTGCGAAAGTCCCCTCTGTAAAGGCGCGAGCTTGCTGCTGCGGTTGCTGCTGCTGCTGCTGCTGCTGCTGCTGCAGCAAGGGAGAGTGAGAGACTCACAAAGACAATCCAATCTGCTAGCCAGTCAGGGTCGCGCTCTACGATGTGATGCCTCAAGACCAGCATGCACACCTTCCGCTTCTGCTGCTGCTGCTGCTGCTGCTGTTGCTGTTGCTGCTGCTGCTGCTGCTCCCCGTCTTCAGCAGCAGCGTCAGCGCAGAGTATGCTGAAGCTCCATTTACCTTCGTCCCTGTGCCGCTGCCGCTGCTGCAGCAGCTGCAGCAGCAGCAAGTCGCAGCAAGCAGCAGGCCAGCAGCTAAAGCCCTCCAACCACCGCACCTCAGCAGATACCTGGGAAGCAGCAGCAGCAGCAGCAACAGCAGCAGCTGCACAAGCAGCAGTAGAAGCAGCAACTGAAGCAGCACTCTCCGACAGTGGATGCTTTTTCAGCTGCTACTGCAGTGTCTGCTAACCCTAAACCCTAAACCCTAAACCCTAATGGCGTACATAAAGAAAGTCGGGGCCCCTCCTAATGCAGCAGCGCAACTCCCGCTGCAGACCTTCAGGGCATTCAATCAAATAAGTTGTTCCTGATGAGGCCTGCTGCTGCTGCTCTTGCTGCTGCTGCTCTTGCTGCTGCTGCTGTTGCTGCTGCTGCTCTTGCTGCTCTTGCTGCTGGTGCTCTTGCTGCTGTTGCTGCTGCTGCTCTTGCTGCTGCTGAAGAGAGTATGTCTGCTGCTGAGGCCCGCAGTCATCCTGCTGCGTACAGGCGGTGGTGGCTTGGCATACACCGTTCTCCTCTTGCTGCTGTTGCTGCTGCTGCTGTTGCTGCTGCTGCTGCTGCTGCTGCTTGGAGAGGTGGTCACCCCCGCTGCACTGCTGCGGCGTCTCTGTGACATTCAGCTGCTGCTGCTCCTCCTTCAAGCAGCAAAGCTGCTGCAGCAGGAAACCCCGAAAAGAATCACTGAGAGGCAGCAGCAGCAACAGCAGCAGACAGAGCAGCAGCAGAAGAGACAACATATATCGATGCAGAGGAGCTGAAGCACTGCAGCAGCAGCAGCATAGAAACTGGCTGCTGCAATGCTAACGACTTCGTCTTGAAGCAGCATACCCAAATAGCAGCAGAGCAGCAGCAACAGCAGCAGCAGCAGCAGAGGGAAGGGCTCACTAGAACGAGGCTTCCGCTTCGGGCCATGCCTCAAGAAGGGGCTGCAGTGCTGCTACTTTTGCTGCATCTTGCTGTAACCATTGCGGTATCTGCTGCTGCTGTTGCTGCTGCTGCTGCTGCTGCACTTCCGTGCTGCAGTCTTGCTGCAAGGGCAACTGCCCTTCCTCCCAGCAGCGGAGGGGCCCCATGGGGCCTTAGACGACCTGCTGCTGCAGTGGAATTCGAAGCTGAGCAGCAACAGCAGCAGCAACAGCAACAGCAGCAGCAGCAACAGCAGCAGCAGCAGCGACACTAGCAGCAGCAGCTGCCCTGACAAAGAATACAAAGACACACACCACAAGAGGCCAGAGAGAGCAGCTTTCGTGTTGCTGCCTCAAAAGGCAGCAGCAGCAACTGCTGCTGCTGCTGTTATTGCTACTGTCTTGTTGCAAGCTGCTGCTGGGCTTGACCTTCCGCTACAGCAGCAGCAGCAGCAGCAACAGCAGCAGCAGCAGCTGTTTAGGAGGCGTTCTTGCCTGTGTTGCGTATATTTTTAAACATTATTTTCTTTTATTTCAAGAGTAAACAAACAAATACGTGCACTACATGTTTGCTGCTGCTGCAGTGACTGTGTTAGGGGGGCCCCACCCTAAGACCCCTCGGGGGCCCCTCTGAATAAAGAGTATATTATTTGTTTATTTACTGAAACAACTTTGTTTTATATTTTTATTTTGCTTTTAAATATCAATAAAGCTTCTTCTGCTTTATTTGAGGTGTATTTACACCTACGCAAAGCTGCTGCTGCCGCTGCTGCTGCTGCGGCTGCAGCAGGGGGCCCCCGGAGGGCCCCCAGGAGAATATGGGGCACTGGAATGAAGTGCAGCAGCAGCAGCTGCAGCAGCGGCAAGAGAAGCAGCGGCTGCTGCAGCAGCTACACGAGCGTCAGCTTCAGCAACCACCACCTGTGCAGCAGCAACAGCAGCCGCTTCATAATGAGGCAGCAACAGCAGCAACAGCAGCAGCAGCAGCTGCTGCTGCAGCACAGCAGGCATACAAGTTGCCTTCAGTATCATATGCTTGCAGCAGCAGCAACAGCAGCAGCAGCAGCAGCAGCAGGAGCTTCTTCGAGTGGCTTAAGGCAAACGATGACGAGCAACTCTGGCGCTGTGCCTGGGGAGCACAAGCCAGCAGCAGCAGCAGCAGCAGCAGCAGCAGCAACCCTGTCATAGTTGTTGATGCAGGTTCTCACTGCATTCGGGTGTCTAGAGCTGAGAGGGGCCCTGAGGTAGGTTTACTTCATGGAGGGGCAACGCGAGCCGCTGCGGTGTGCTGCTGCTGTTGCTGCTGTTGCTGCTGCTGCTGCTGCTGCCGCTGCTGCTGCTGCTGCATCTGGGCGAGCACCAAAGCAGTTTCTTGTGCAAGCGCTGTCTATACACCGGACGTGTAAACCATATTCTGCATGTGGCAGCTGCTGCTGTTCCTGCTGCTGCTACTGCTGTTGCTGCTGCTGCTTCTGCTGCTTCTGCTGCTGCAGGGAGAAGAGCAGAGCCTTATATTGCCTCAAGTTATTCGCAGACCGTGGGGTAAGGTCTCCAGCAGCAGCAGCAACAGCAGCAACAGCAGCAGGCAGCAGCAGTATCAGCGACAGCAACAGCGAATCAGCGTGAAGACGACAGCAGTAGCTAACCACGAACTTTCTTCCATTTGCTGCTGCTGCTCTTGTTGCTGCTGCTGCTGTTGCTGCTGTTGCTGCTGCTGTTGCTGCTGCTGCTGCTGCTGCTTGTAGAGAACGAGGGCGACGGCTATATGCCGCTGTATCGTGGGGTTGTACGCGACTGGTCGGCCTACGAAGATGCAGTTCTTCATGTGCTAACTGCTGCTGATTCAGGGTTAGCTGCTGCTGCTGCTGCTGCTGCTGTTGCTGCTGCTGCTGCTGCTGCACGAATTTGTTGGTTGCTGCTGCCGTCTTTCGCTGAGGCCCCCGCCACCATTGTTTCTGCTGCTGCTCTATCAGGTGCTGTCCCTGCAGTTGTGTATACTCCCACTGCTACTGCTGTGCTGCTTCTGCTGCTGCTGCTGCTGCAGGATGCATCCTGCTGCTGCTGGGGGGCGTTTGCTGTGGTGCGAGAGCAGCCTCCGCTCTCCGCAGCACTTTGCGAGGATAGGCGAGATTTGTTTTGAGCTCCTGGAAGCTGAAAACTTTCTCTCAGTCGACAAAGTATGCTGCTGCTGCTGCTGCTGTTGCTGCTGCTGCTGCTGTTGCTGCTGCTGCTGTTGCTGCTGTTGCTGCTGCTGCTGTTGCTGCTGCTGCTGCTTCTAGGATGGTGCAGCAGGTTTTGCTGGTGGAGTTGCTGCTTTTGCTTCAGCTGCTGTAGTAGTTGCAGCAAGTGTTGCTGCTAGAGCTGCTTCTGCTGCGTCTGCTGCTGCCTCTGGCGTTGCTGCCGCTCCTCTTGCTGCTGCTGCTGCTGCTGCATGCAGCAGCATTAGAGCGAGTTGTTGTTTGTTTTGTCTTCCAGGATACTCTGTCTGCCTTGGCGATCACCGGCTGTCTGCGGAGCTCAGCGGACACTGACAGCAGCAGCAACAGCAGCAGCAACAGCAGCAGCAGCAACAGCAGCAGCAGGTGGAACGAGAGCGCTCTTCGCGTGCTGCGGTGCATGCAGCACTTCTCTGGCTTGGTTATTGACTTAGGAGCTTCTTTAACTAGAGTGTCTCCTTTTCTATTAGGCCAGGCCTTCGGGTGTCTCTCCTTAGAGCTACCGCTGGGAGGCAGAGACATTGATTTGCTGCTCTGCAGCAAACTGCTGCAGCAGGAGCAACAGCAGCAGCAGAAGCAGCAGCAGCAACCGCAACAGGGACGCAGCAAAAGGGACTGGAGACCCTGCAACTGCACCATGGTGAGGCATCCTCCCACTGTTCTTTTTGCTGCTGTTGCTGCTGCTGCTGCTGCTGCTTTTGGCGTTGCTGCAGCAGCAGCAGCAGCAAGCGGTTGTAGCTGCTGCATTTGGTGCTGCAGGCTGCTGCAAGATCCGTGAAAGAGCAGCTGCTTTGCTGCTCCGCGGAGAAGGGCATCGTCTTAGCAGCAGAGACATCTCTTGCGAACAGCAACCCCTGCACTGTACAGCCACCTACTGGCTGCAGCCGCTGCAACCGCAGCAGCAGCAGCAGCAGCAGCAACAGCAGCAACAGCAGCAACAGCAGCAGCAGCAACAGTGGCGGCTTAGGGATGGACTGCAAGAAACGCCGCTGTGACGAAGGGCCGTGGAGCCCCACTGAAGATGAGCAGCAGCAGGAGCAGCAGCAGCAGCAGCAGCAGCAGCAGCAGCAGCAACAGCATCAGGTGCCGCATTGGGTCGTTGGAGACTGTCGAGTAACAGCAGCAGAAATACTGTTTGATGCAAAGGCTCTCAGGGATTATAGATACACCTGCGTAAGCTCTGCTGCTGCTGTTGCCGCTGCTGTTGCTGCTCCTTTTGCTGCTGCTGCTTGTATTACTGCTGCTGGCGTTTGTGCCGCAGAATGTGTAGCGGTGTTTACTCGCCCTGTGTTCGTGTTGCTCTGCTGCTGCTGCTGTTGCTGCTGCTACTGTTGCTGCTGTTGCTGCTTCTGCTACTGTTGCTGTTGCTGCTGCTGCTGCTGCTGCTGCAGGCAGGGGAGGAGCCTCTTAGCGCCGTTCATTTTATGCCGCTGCAGGCAGCAGTGGAGGCGGTAGTAGAGAAGTGCCCCGTAGACACCCGAAAGTAATAATATGCTCTGTCTCCTTTTGTCTCCTTTTGTCTCCTTTTGTCTCCTTTTGTCTTTCTTTGTCTCCTTTTGCTGTCTCCTAATGCCTCCTCTTGCCTCTGTCTGTCTCTGTCTGTCTCTGTCTGTCTTTTGTCTCCTTTTGTCTTCTTATATCTCCTTTTTGTGTCTCCTTTTGCTGCCTCTGTTGTCTCCTTTTGTCTCCTTCTGTCTCTTTTTGTCTCGTTTGTCTCCTTTTGTTTTATTGTGTCTCCTTTCATCTCTTGTTATCTCCTTTTATCTCTTTTTATATCTTTTTATCTTTCTTTATCTCCTTTTGTCTCCTTTTGTCTTCTTGCTGTCTCTTTTTCTTTATATTATTTTGTTTCCTTGTCTGTATATCATCCTGTCTCCTTCAGTTATATATATATATATATACATATATATATATATATTTGTTTATTTATCTGTCTCCTTGTCTTTATATAATTTGTCTCTTCTTCTTTTTATCTGTAGCTGTCTTTGTCTCTGTCTCCTCAATCACTAACCGCTGCACCCGTTAGACTCCTGTCTCTTTCTTTTATCTAAATGCTGCTGCTTCTGCTGCTTCTGCTGCTGCTGCTGCTGTTGCTGCAGGTGTTTGCTGCAGAACGTGTTCGTCGTTGGGGGCACTTCCCTTATACCAGGATTAGCAGCCCGTCTGCAGGCGGAGCTGAAAGTGAGCCGCTGCTGCTGCTGCTGCTGCTGTTGCTGCTGCTGCTGCTGCTGTTGCTGCTGCTGTTGCTGCTGCTGGCAAGGCCCACAGCACTCTCAATATCTGTTGTCTCCCCTTGTATATATTTTTTCTGACGCTGCACAATGCTGTTTCAACTGCTGCACGCAAGGAGCAGCAGCAGCAGCAGTAGCAGCAGCTGCTGCTGTTGCTGCTCCGCTAGCAGCATGTGTTATCTGCAGTTTCTTCATTTTTTCTGTGCGCCACTGCTACTGGTGCTGCTGCTGTTTTGCTGCTGCTGCTGCTTCTGCTGCTGCTACTGCTGCTGCTGCTGCTACTGCTGCTGCTGCTAGTGCTGTTTCTTCTGCTGCGGCTGCTGCTACTGCTTCAGGAGCTGTACAGATACCGCAAGGCGCACGCTTCTTTCTCGCCTCACGTTCATCTGCTGCCTCACCCTGAGTTGCAGCAGTATGTTTGCTGCTGCTGTTTATTTTATTTATATATATTTTTTAGTCTCCTCTGCTGTCTCTGATGCGTTGTTTGCGGGGCCTTCTTTGTCTCTTTCTTGTCTCCTGTCTCCTCGCTTGCTCTCCCGCTGTCATCATTGCTGCTGCTGAAGCTGTTGCTGCTGCCGCGCCTATTGCTGCTGCTGCGCCTGCTGCTGCTGCACCCGCTTCTGTCATGCTGCTGCTGATCCTGCTGCTGTTACTGTCTTATTGCTACTCCCCACCTGCTTGCAGCAGCAGCAGCAGCACTAGTAGTAGCAACAAGGAGACAGCAGCAAGCGTACCAACAGCAGAAGTAGATGCAACAGCTCAGGATCAGGTGCTGCTGCAACAGCAGCACGTGCAGCAACAGAAGCACGTGCAGCAGAAGCAGCAGCAGCAGCAGCAACTGCAGCAGCAGCAGCAACAGCATGGGTGTTTGTGCGTGCAGTCATGCGGCAATTTGCGGAGGCTTTCGGTTGGCTGTGCAGCACCATTATGACTTAAATCACATTACAAGGCAGCAGGTGCAGCAGCAGCAGCAGCAGCAGTAAACGCAGCAGCAGCAAACGCAGCAGCACTTTAGAGAGCCTCGGGCGTAGAAATGCATACGGGGACTGTGCTGCAGTTGCAGTTGCTTTTGCTGCTGATCCTACTGCAGCATGAGATGCTGCTGCTGATGCTGATGCTAGCTTTGGTGGTGCTGCTGTTAATGCTGCTGATGCTGTTGCCTCAGCTGCTGCTGCTTCTGCATTTGCTGCTGCCGTGTTGTGTGCAGTACTTTGAGGTTGGGCCTTCTCTGTTAGACAGCTTCAGCTGCTGGGGCCGCATGCGGTAGCGAAGGAGAAGAGACAAACTGTCTCCTTTTTAGAGGAGACAGATCGTGTCTGTCTCCTTAAAGAGCAGATAATCTGTCTCCTTCTTAAAGCAGAGAATCTGTCTCCTTTTCATACCAGAGAGCCTGTCTCCTTTTCATTCGAGGGGGCAATCTGTCTCCTTAAGGGAGACAATCTGTCTCCTTAAAGGAGACAATCTGTCTCCTTAAAGGAGACGATCTGTCCCCTTAGAGGAGACAATCTGTCCCCTTAGAGGAGACGATCTGTCTCCTTAGAGGAGACGATCTGTCTCCTTAGAGGAGACGATCTGTCTCCTTAGGGGAGACGATCTGTCTCCTTAGGGGAGACGATCTGTCTCCTTGCTGTATGAAACAATTTGTCTCCTCCTTAGACGAGACAGTCTGTCTCCTTCTTAGACGAGACAATCTGTCTCCTTCTTAGAAGAGACAAACTGTCTCCATATTAAAGGAGATCATCTGTCTCCCCCTCCTTTAGAGGGACAACCTGTCTCTGTCTTTTTTAATCAGAAGGAGACAGGTTGTCCCTCGTAAGGAGGAGACAACCTGAGACAGACTCAGAAGGAGAGGATCTGTCTCCTTCTGAGTTTGTCTCCTTTTTCTTATTCTGTCTCTTACAAAGATACTACCCGTCTTCTTGTATTAAAAAGAGACAGCCTTTGCTTAGGAAAGAGACAGTTTGTCTCTGTTGTTAAAGGGGGATAAACAGAGGAGATGAACACAGCACAAACCACAAAACGAACAAAGGAGACAGAAGAATGAGACAACAGAAAGAGACAGAAGAAGGAGACAAAAAAAAGAGATCGAGGAAAGAGACAGAAGAAAGAGAGATAAGGAGGAGAGAAAGAAGGAGACAAACACAAAAGGAGACAAAGAAGGAGACAAGCACAAAAGGAGACAGAAGAAGGAGACAAGCACGAAAGGAGACGGAAGAAGGAGACAAACAGAGAAGAGGACAAGGAGGAGACAGAAGAAGGAGACAAACACAGAAGGAGACAAAGGAGACAGAAGAAGGAGGCAAACAGAGAAGGAGACAGCGAAGGAGACAGAAGAAGGAGACAAACAAGAAACAAAGAACAAGCAAAACAAACAAGCGTCAGTAGTCCAGGGGTAGGATGCAACCCTCCCAAGGTTGCGACCCGGGTTCGAGTCCCGGCTGACGCAGATTATTAATTTTTAATTAAATTAAATAATAAGCATCTTAATTAAAATATATATTAAAATTAATATATATATAAACTATTAAATTAATATTTAATTAATTTAAAGTATATTTCATGCTCTTATTTTAATCGAAGACAAGCAGCAATGAGCTGTGGGGCCCAACCACTCATAAGTCACTGCCTATACACCCCGGAGTATCGACTGTCTGTCTGTGCTTTATTGAGGAAAGAAATGCAATTGAATTAAATAAAAGATAATTAAAAGCAAATTAAAACAATGTTTAAGAACAAACAAAGAAGAAAAAGACAGAAACCCGCCTGCTGAAGTCTCCTATCTCTAACAGTCTCTGCTGGGGCTGCAATTATTGCTGCTGTCTCCTCCGCGTGTGCAGGAGATGTCTCTTCATTCTGCTGCATAGAAAATATATAATATAATATAATATACCTCTGGGTCGCTTAAAAGAATCAGAAGCAGCAGATTAAGAAGGAAGAGATATTTATAAACAATCTGTCTCCACTATGCCGCTAGATAGGGAGACAGTTGCACACTGTCTCCGCGCCTTAGGAGAGCTGAAGGTCTCTAGAGACAATGGGCTCAGCAGGTCGGAGATCAAAGAGCTGCTGCAGGGTTAGCGAACACACGCAGCAGCAACAGCTGCAGCAGCTGCTGCTGCTGCTGTTGCTGCAGCAGCTGCTGCAGCAGGCGTAAACGAAGCAGCAACAGCAGGGAGCGGGGCAGACACAGCGATCCCTGTAGCAGAAAGAGCAGCAAAAGCAACAGTAACGACATACGCAGCACCAGCAACACCCGTAGCAGCACCAGGGGCAACTTCAGCAGCAGCAGCAGCAGCAATAGCAGCAACAGCAACAATAGCAGCAATAGCAGTAACAGCAGCAGCAGCTTTGGCAGCCCCAGCAGCTAGCTTAGCAGCACTAAAACCAGCAACAGCAGCAGAAGCAGCACCAGCAGAAGCAGCCTTCCCAGCAGCAGCAGCAGCAGCAGCAGCAACTTGTGAGAGTTATGACAGGGCTGCAGAGATCTCAGGGGCCTCCTAACGTTCTCAGCAGCTGTGGAGACAGACAGAAGAAGAGAACAAAAAGCAAAAGAATAAATAAAATAAACAAATAAATAGCGCCTCTCACCACTGGCACCTGCCTGTACACCTGAAGAAGAACTGATACCGCAATAAACAAGCAGCGGAGACACCTCAATAGAATTGTCTCTTCTGTCTCTGTCTCCGTGCATGCACTGCCTCAAGCCTAAGGCCTCAAACCCTTTTCTTTTGTTTTATCTCTGTCTCCTCTCTGTCTCTGCCTTCTCTCTGTACAAGCGCAGATAGACGCTGTCTCCTGATAAGCATGCATTGTACTCTTCATCAGAACCCCACTGCGCCTAGGGTTTAGGGTTTAGGGTTTAGGGTTTAGGGTTTGCGGGAGGTCACCAGGGCCTGGGGCGGTTTGGGTGGGAAGGAGACAGGCTTCATCTAAGCAAACCCTAAACCCTAGTAAGGGTTTAGCATAGTGGCTTAGGGTTTGTGGTAACCCCACAAGAACAAGGGTCTAGGGTTTAGGGTTTAGGGTTTAGGGTTTAGGGTTTATGCACTCAGACATTCTTGGTGCCAGCGCTACAGATGATATTATTTACTCTCTTATGGCGGAAATAGAAGAAGACTGCACAGGGCAGATCGGTCCTTCAAACCCTAAACCCTAAACCCTAAACCCTTACCAGCAAACCCTAAACCCTAGGGTTTTAGCAAACCTAAAACCCTAAGCAGCACCTCCTAAACCCTAATCAGCCGGCCAAGAACTCTTCTTAGCTAACCCTAAACCCTATTATGCAAACCCTAAACCCTATTCTCCAATCCCTACACCCTTATCAGCAAACCCTAAACCCTTATTAGCAAACTCTAAACCCTCCAGCAGCAGCAAACCCTAAACCCTCGCTTAGCAAGCCTTGAACCCTAAAAAGCAAAACCCTACGGGCCAACCAGCAAACCTTAAACCCTAGTACCTCATCAGCAACCCCTAAACCCTAATCAGCAAACTCTAAACCCCAAACCCTAGTAAGCAAACCATAAACCCTAAACCCTAGTAAGCAAACCCTAAACCCTTTATTTTTTTTTCTCTTTAGAGTTTGCGGAGGTTTTGCGGGTCTTCGAACGCCAGGCGGCAGAAGGATATGATGAAGACGACAGCCAAAATATGAGTAAGCAGCAGCAGCAGCAGCAGCAGCAGCAGCAGCAACAGCAGCAGCAGCAGCAGCGAGTTGTTGTGTGGAGTGCTCAGCTGCAGTGTGGGTCGCTCTCGGAGGCTCAGCAGCTGCTCTCGATCAGCCAATTCCTTTCGGTAGGGATAATCATGCACTTGCTGCTGCTGTTGCTGCTGTTGTTGCTGTTGCTGCTGCTGCGTTTGCTGCTGCTGTTGCTGTTGCTGCTGTTGCATGCGCTGCTAGCGCAGCGTCTCCTTCTGCTGTTGTTCCTTTTGCAGCAGCATTTTCTGCAGCAGCAGCAACTGCTGCTGCTGCGGAAGTGACTGTTCCCGTCAGGTTTGGTACTGCTGCTGCAGCATATTCAGCAGCAGCAGCAGCTGCTGCTGCTGCTGCTGCAGGTCATGTATAAGCGTTTGTTTGTATGGTTGCTCAGAGAATTTGGTGTCTGCATTTAGAGACAACTTTTCAATGACAGTTGATGAAGAGGTTAGTACACACAAATACCTACAGAGGGGGCCTCATCTATACCTTCTTAGGGGCCCCCCTATTGTCTCCTATTGTCTCCTGGGGGCCCCCCTATCTCCTCTTGGCCCCCCCCCCTCTACACCCTCTTGGGGGCCCCCCTATCATCTTTTTAGGGGCCCCCCTATTGTCTCCTGGGGGCCCCCCTACCCCCCCTTAGGGGCCCCCCCCTACACCCTTTTAGGGGGCCCCCCCAATACCCCCTTGGGGGCCCACCCTATCATCTTTTTGGGGGCAACCCTATTGTCTCCTGGGGCCCCCCCTGCCACCGCTTGTGGGGGCCCCCCTCAGCAACATGGGGGGCCCCTAACATTCATTGAGGGGCCCCCCAGGAAGCCTTGAGGGGGCCCCTAAGATCGGTTAGGGGGGCCCCCTACCCTATAGGGTACAGCTGCTGCTGCATGTTGCTGCGAAGTGGTGGGGGCCCCTTGCGTTTGTGCAGCAGAGGGTCTCAGTAATGACGAGCTGCTTATTTATTATTTATTTATTTATTTATTTATTTATTTATTTATCTTTTGTTTATATTTACTTAGACCCTAAGAAAGGCCTTAGGCGTTGGGGCTGACAACAAGTTGAAGTACCAGGTAAGAAAGACAAAAGGAGACAGCAGACAGCAGAAAAACAAATGAGGGTAAGAAAAAGGAGACAGCTTATTCTGCTGTTGCTGTTGTTGTTGCTGCTGCTGCTGCTGTTGCTGCGGCTGTTGCTGCTGCATGCGCTGTCGTCTCTCAGGCGTTCAGCGCCTACTATAAATAAATAAACAACCCCTCTAAAGAAAAAAGAGAAGAAGACAAAAGGAGACAAAAGGAGACAAAAGGAGACAAAAGGAGACAAAAGGAGACAAATGGAGGTAGAAGGAGACAAAGAGAGACAAAGAGAGACAAAGAGAGACAAAAGGAGACAGAAGGAGACAAAAGGAGACAGAAGGAGAGACAGACAAGGAGGAGCAGAGACACACAAATAGAGATAAAAGAAGCAAATACAAACAGAGACGGCAGGAGACACAAAAGAAAGAGGCAGGGGTGAATACAAACACTGAGAAGGAGACAGACACAGAGACAAAGAGATAAGGAGACAGATGAACGAAGAGACAAAGAGATAAGAAGAGATAAAGAGACAAAAGAAGGAGACAGAAGAACTCACGAAGAGACATGAGGAGACACCGAAAGCAGCAGAAAGAGATGCCCATACACCTCAAACGGCAGCCACTCCACCTAAACCCTAAAAAACCTTAAACCCTAAACCCTAAACCCTAAACCCTAAACCCTAAAAGATAAATCGAGAGTGGGAGCCAACGCAGAAGCAAAACACAGAGGGTTTCCTAAGGTTTATCTTCATCTGTCTGTTTGTTTTTTTCTTGAGGTGTCTGTACACTTCAAAAGCCTTAATTAACTAAATCTTATTAATTAAGGAGAGGAGATCTGCAGTTTTATTTGAGGTGTATATACACCCCAAACCCTATCAACCTCTACACATAGAAAGACCTTCTATAAACAAATATGCTGACTAAAACAAAACATTAAGTTTATTATCATGCTGCTGCTGTTGCTGCTGCTGCTGCTGCTGCTGCTGTTGCTGCTGCTGCTGCTGCTGCTGCGAGCGTTCGGCGTCCCCATCGTATATCTCTTGAAATAATAATAAATTAATTAAAGAATAGTATTTTAAATCAAAATATAAATTTTGTTTATTATTAATTATATTAATTATGTATATATTTACTTATCTCCCCTCGAAGCCTCTTGAGGGCTGCTCTCAGCATTGTTTGCAGTTCATATAAATTAATAAGATAATTTTGTTTTAATATTTTATTAAAGATTTATTTTTATTGTTTTTAAACATATATTCTTTTAGAGGACTCATTTTTATATCGTAGTACTCCTCACATGCAGTCAGATCGATTGGGGGCCCTTTCTCCGATTAGGGTTTAGGGTTTAGGGTTTAGGGTTTTGTTCTGGGGGGTAGGAGCCCGGGGAGTAGATCTCCCGTTAGCCTTTACGCTTTGAAGGTCTCAAGGTGAACGAAGCCTTAGGGTTTAGGGTTTAGGGTTTAGGGTTTAGGGTTTTAGGGTGTCTTTCCAAGGGCACGTTGCCTTCATCTCGGGTTTCAAAGGGGGGCCCCCCTGGGGGCCCCCCTCGATGTGTAGAGACAGCAGAGGGGCCTCCAATAACATCTAAGGGGTCTATGCTGCAGCAGCAGCAGCGGAGGCTGCAGCAAAAGCTGGGGGAGGAGGAGCAGCAGCTGCAGCAGCAGCTGTTGCAGCAGCTGCAGCAGCGGCTGCAGAAGCTGCATCAGCAGCTGAACGACCGGAAGCAGCATCTGCTGCAGCAGCAAGAACAGCTACAGCATCTGCAGCAGCAGCAGAAACACGAGCAGCGGCAGCAGCACAAGCAACAGCAGCAGCAAGAGCAGCAGCAGCAGCCTTGGCTTCTCCAGCGCCGTAGCTTCAGTTGTTTGCTGCTTCGTCTGCTGTTTGCTGCTGCATACTCTGCTGTTTTATATATTGCTTTTTTCTCTGAGGGTTTAGGGTTTAAATTAGTATCCGCTGAGGGGACAGCTGTCTCCTCCCAACTCCGCAGCAACCTGTTGCATCTACCTACACGGATATGCAGCAGCAGCTGCAGCAGCAGCAGCAACAACACGTGCAGCAGCAGCAGCCGTAGTAGCAGCAGCAGCAGCATATCTGCATTAAGCTTTATGGGCACGGTACGCTCTCAGCACCGCGTCCCCAGCAGCAGCACATCAGCGGGAGGGAACAGCAGCAGCAGCAGCAACAGCAGCAACAGCAGCAGCAGCAGCAGCAAGGGGCTGCATGCAGAGCGGAGAGGAAGGAGAGGCGGTGCTGCAGGAGACAGTCCCCCCTGGGATCGAAGCAGCTTCATAAAGTGTCTCCTTCCTAAGCTGGAGGCCTCCCTTGAGTCTCTTAACAAACAATTTCTAGCTATAGGTAATATGCAAATAGGGTAAGCAGCAGCAGCACAAGCAGCAGCAATAGCAGCAGCAGCAGCAGCACAGCCAGCCTTAGGTGCACAAGCAGCAGCAGCAGCACCACAAGCAACAGCAGCAGCAGCAGCAGCAGCACAGCCAGCCTTAGATGCACAAGCAGCAGCAGCAGCAGCAGCAGCAGCAACAGCACCAGCATATATATATATATATATATATATATATATATGTTTATAGAATATGCGCTTTGCTGCTCTTTAGGCCCTCAGCGTTGTTAAACGTGAAGGTCTCCATAGACACCCTACCCCCTACAGGGGCCCCACACAAGCAGCAGCAGCAGCAGCAGCAGCAGCAGCAGCAGCTCAAGCGACAGCAGCGGAAGCAGCAACGGCAACAGCAGCAACAGCAGCAGCAGCAGCAGCCTCTGCATGCAGTGGCTAGCGTGCAGCTGTTAGGGGGGGGAGAGCTGCTGGTGAGGCCCTACGAAGCAGCAAATGCTGCTGCTATTGAAGCAGCACTAAGAAAGGCCCCTGGCGGCTTTTCTGTCTCCATCCAGCAGCAGCAGCAGCAGCAGCAGCAGCAGCAGCAGAAGGGTTCCGATGGCAAGGCCGTTACGTAAGAGCCGCGCTACTCTGCTTAAGTAGATGTAGCTGTTGCTGCTGCTGTTGCTGCCGCTGTTGCTGCTGCCTTTGCTGCTGCCTTTGCTGCTGCCTTTGCTGCTGCTGTTGCTGCTGTGGTTCTGCGGCTGCTGCCGCTTTTGCAGCTGCGGTGCTGCGGCTGCTGCTGCGATGCTGCTGTGACTGCTGCTGTGGTCTTACTACGACTACTAGTAATACTGCTGCTGCTGCTGCTGCTGCTGCTCATGCTGCTGCAGCTGCAGGGACAGCAGCAGGCGCTGCATGTGGCGTTGCTGCTGCTGTTTTGTTTTATCGTTTTGTTTGTCTCAGAGAATTTGTAATACGCAGAGCGATCCCAACCAGAGAGTGGCGGTTCGTCTCCTGTCTCCTCTTCCTGCTGTCTCCTTTCTCTACTGTCTCCTTTCTCTGCTGTCTCCTCTCTCCTTCTGCTGTCTCCTCTCTCCTTGCTGTCTCCTTTCTCTGCTGTCTCATTTCTCTGCCGTCTCTCTTTCTATGTTTTATTTCTTTACTGTCTCTGTTTCTTTTCTTTTGCTGCTTTGTGTCTATGTGTCTCTGTCTCTGTTTATCTGTCTCTTCGTCTCTTATTGTACATCTCTCTCCACTGTCTCCTTATCCCTGTCTTATATCTCTCAGTCTCCTCTCATCTCTTCTTATTTGTCTCCCTTTCTGTTTCTTCTTTGCTGCGCGTTGTTTGCTGCTGCAGCGAAGCGGAGGCCCGGAGGGCCCGGGAAGCAGCAGAAGCTGCAAAGGTGTCTCTGCGGTGAGTCCTCTCCAGCAGCAGCAGCAGCAGCAGCAGCAGCACAAGCAGCAGCAGCAGCACAAGCAACAGGTGCAGCATCAACAGCACAAGCAGCAGCAGCAGTACAAGCAACAGGTGCAGCATCAACAGCACAAGCAGCAGCAGCACGAGCAGCAACAGCAGCAGCAGCAAAAGCAGCAGCAGCAGGATTCTTTTGCTGCTGCTCTTTATGCTTGTAGGGGTTTGCGGCGTGAGGCCCATCAGCGTCTCCGCGAGATGCTGCAGAGTAAAAGTTTAGGAGAAGATGAAGTACAGAAGACTCAAGTAAACAGCAACTGCTTCTTCTGTCTCTTTTGCTGCTGCTGTTGGTGCTTCTTGTGTCCCCTTTGCTGTTGCTGTCTCCTGGTCGCTGTCTCTGCAGCTCCCTCGCTTTGTCTCTTTATTTTTTTCAGTCTCCTGCTGGCTCTGGCTGTATCTCTCTCCCTCTCTTTCTCGCTGTCTCTCTCTGTCTCTGTCTCTGTCTCTCTCTGTCTCTCTGTCTCTGTCTCTCTGTCTCTCTGTCTGTCTCTCTGTGTCCCTGTCTTTGTCTGTCTCCTTTTTGCCTCTCCCTCTCTCTTTTTGTCTGTGTATCTGTCTCTTTCTCTGTCTCCCTATGTCTGTCTGTCTGTCTGCCTCTCTGTCTCTGTCTCTCTGCCTCTCTGTCTCTCTGCCTCTCTGTCTCTGTCTCTCTGTCTCTGTCTCTCTATGTCTGTCTCCTTTCTACGGTTAGTCTCTGCCTGTCTGTGTCTCTGTCTGTCTGTCTCTTCGCTGTTTGTCTGTCCTTCTTTGTTTGTTTGTCTTTGTTTTTTTCTTGCGTTTGTTTGCTGTCTTTGCTTTCTCTATCTGTCTCTGCACTTCTTTGTCTCTTTGTTCTTTTGCACTGCCCCTTAAACAGAAAAACGATGCTGCTTCTGCTGCTGCATTTGCTGCTGCTGCTGCTGCTGCTGCTTCAGGCAGCAGTGGACCGCGAAGTGGAGACATTTGTCTCCAAGGTGTCCAGCTGTCTCCAGCGCAAGCAGCAGTCTCTCCTCTCTCCTTCTTAAAGTCTTTAGGGGACCCCCTAGGGGCCCCCGCCCTCTCCTTTACGCCTAAGCGGGGGCCCCCCAGAGGCCCCCCAGGGCCCCCCACAGGGGCCCTTAGGGGGCCCCTGTGAGGCTCCCTAAGGGCTCCACAGGGGCCCTTCAAAGGGCCCTCTAATGGGCCCTCCTACGGTCCCCATACGGTTCACTAAGGGGCCCTCAAGGGGCCCACCAGGGGTACCCCAAGGGGCCCTCCAAAGGGCCCCCTAAGGGGCCCCCCAAGGGGCCTCTTAAAGGGTCCCCATAGAGTGCCCCCAGGGGCCCCCCAAAGGGCCCTGTAGAGTCCCCTCGGGGGCCCCCTAAGGGAGCCCCCAAACGGGCCCACTAAGGGGCCCCCAAGGGTTCTTTGGGGGCCCCCAAAGGGTACTAGGAGAGACAGACAACAGGCAGAGGAAGAGACAATTATTAAAAGCTGCGAGCAGCAAGAGTCACCTGCAATACGCGGTGCTGCGCTGCAGCTGCTGCAGCCATCAGGGAAACAGCAGCTGCAGCAGCAGCAGAAGCAGCAGCAGATGGCGCGGGATCCTCTGCGTCTGCTGCTGCAGAGGGAACTGCAAGCGCTGCAGCACCACTCTTTGCTGCTGCTGCTGCTGCCTGCAAGGCCTGTGCTTCCTTTGCTAGAAGCGGCTGCACTGCAGCAGCAGCAGCAGCAGCACCGACTCTCAGCTGCAGCAGGGGTATCTGTCCCCTGAAGACCCAGAAGCCAGCAGCAGCATCATACCGCTCAAACTCCGCTCCTTCTATGCATGCACAAATCTGTTCTTGCTGCTGCTGCTGCTGCTGCTGCTCCTTCTGTTTCTGCTGTTGCTCCTCCAGTGCAGCAACAGCAGGCTTTAAGAACCTGTCAAGAGGGGAGACACTGAGGTCTGCTGCTGCTCCTCCTGCGCTGCTGCTGAGGCGGATGCAGCAGATTTGGAGGCCCCCCGTCATCAAATAGATTGCTCCTTCTGCTGCTGCTGCTGTTGTTGCTGCTGCTGCTCCCTGGACACAAGAAGAAGGTGTCTCCTGTCCCTAAACACACAGCAAGGCAACATCCACACACTCCACACTGCTGCTGCTGCTGCTGCTGCTGTTATATGCAAGCACTCTAGCTGCTGCTGATGCTGCTGTGCTGCTGCTGCTGTGGGGGCTGTAAGGTGCTGCAGCAGCACGAACCTGCACAGGAGGAGACAGCTGCAGGTGCAGCAGCAAACCCACAACGTCATAGAGGAGACCCCGCGTAAGGCCTAGGGCCTCGGGGGCCCCTGGGGGGAGACACATGAGGGGCCCCCCTGTGACATCAAGCCCCCAGAAAGGAGACACCCAGTCTATCGTGCTGCTGCCTGTTGCTTCTTCTGCTGCTCCTGCTGCTGCTGCTGCTATTGCTGCTGCTGCTTCCCCGTTGCTGCTGCTGCGCCCTTGCAACGTGTGGGGCCCAAAGCCGCAAGCAATTAGATGACTCTCAGATAAGACAGGGAGACGCAGCAGCAGCGGCAACGCCTGAGGGGGCACTACCTGTTGTTGTTGCTGCTGTTGCTGCTGCTGCTGCTGCTGCTGCTGCAGTTGCTGGATTAGCAGCTCAGGGCGAAGGGGAGAGACGCCTGCAGCCTCAGTGCAGGTCCTGCAGTGCAGCGGGAAGAAGAGAGACAGCAGATAATAAAAAGGAGACAGCAGATAATAATAAAAAGGAGACAGCAAATAATAAAACAGAGACATAAAATAATAAAAAGGAGACATAAAATAATAAAAAGGAGACAGACAGTCAAATGAAAGACAGATGTGGCGAAGAGACAGAGACAGATACGCAGAGAGACGCAATCATAAAAATATAAACGGAGACAGATATAAGAATATGAAGAGAGACAGATATAAAGATATGAACGGAGACATATGTATATATAGAGAGACAGATATAAAAATATAGAGACAGACATAAATATAGCAACAGAGACAGACATAAAGCTACAAACAGAGACAGATAAAAAGATATAATAAACAGAGACAGAGATAAAGAGACAGAGATAGAGATATGAACAGAGATACACACAGAGACAGACAGAAAGACAACAAGACGATAGAGGGGACAGGGAGGCAGCTGCCGGGGAGACACTTCGTTCATCCAGCAGCAGCAGCAGCAGCAGCAGCAAACTGTTTTAAAACAATAAAAAAGGCTCAAGCCTTTTGTTTAATAAATAAACCAACGCTGAGGAGACAGCAGAGACAGCTCACCTTGCTGTTGCATACAGCCGAAGAGGAGACACAAACGCTCCTGCTGCTGCTGTCTCCCTGCGTCTCCTTTCTAGCTGAAGAACCGTCTCTGCTTCTCCAGCAAACTGCTGCTGCCCTGTAACCCCTCCTCCCGCAAACGCAGCAGCAGCAGCAGCAGGTGTTGTTGCTGCTGCTGCTGCTGCAGGAGCACCAGAAGCAGCAGCAGAAAGAGGCCGCTGCAGCACAGGGGGGCCCCCCACGCGCAGGTTCAGCAGCCGCAGCCGCTGTCCCTCTTTTAGTGTCTCCTTTGTCTCCTCAGCCCAAGGCAAATGCACGAAGGCGAGGGCTCTTCGCAGCTGCTGCAGCAGGGGCTTGTTTTGCTGCTGCTGCTGCTGCTGCTCTTGAAATACCCATGACTCAAAGGACTCGTTGGGCTGTTTATTCTCATCCAAACGGCAACAGCCCTTGCTTCCTGCTGCTGCTGTTGCTGCTGCTGTTGCTGCTGCTGTCTGCTGCAGCAGCAAGGCGTCAATGACGAGGAGACGGCTCTGATGTCTGATTTGCTGCTGCACTGCAGCAGCATCAGCAGCAAACTGTTCCAGTAGTCTCTCTTGCTCCCTAGCGAGTTCCTTAGCTGCTTCCCATACGTCCTCATCGTCGTCCTCCTGCTGCTGCTGCTGCTGCTGCTGCTGCTGCTTTTGCTGCTGCTGCTGCTGCCGCTGCTGCTGCTGCTGTGCTGCTGCTGCGCACTCTTCACGGCGGTGCTGCAGCTGCTCTGCAACTGCAGCAAGGGGCCCCTCTTGAGCAGCATGGAGAAGCTGTTGCTTCTGGCGCCTCCATGCTTCTCCATCCTGGAGGGACAGCAGCAAAGGCCGCTGCTGCTGCTGCTGCTGCTGCTGCGGCTGCTGCTGCTGCTGCTGCAGCAGGCAGTGGGGCGGCAGCACACGCAGCACCACCACATCTACAAGAGGGACTGTCCCTCCGTTCGGCGTTAAGGCCCTCAGCGGCAGCGGTATATAGCGGGGGAGACGCAGCAGCCCCAACCCCTTAGGAAGAGAAGGAGACAAACTGCAGCAGCAGCTGCTGGACAGCAGCAGCAAACCCTCATCAGGGGCCTCCAGCGGACAGTACCCCTCGCGGTTGCCGCCAAGCTGCGCTCCTTGAAGCAGCAAACGCTTCATGCGCATTGGCGGAGGCCCCCAACTCTTCTGCTGCACTCTGTCTCCTGCTGCTGCTGCTGCTGCTGCTGTGCTGTTGTATGTCCCTGCTGCACGCTGCGCGCGCAGCAGCCGCCCCAAAGCAGCAGCAATAAACCAGTCTTGAGTCTTGCCGCATATCCAATAGAAACCATCTGTCAGCAGCACCTCGGAGACAAGGTGCTGCTGCTGCTGCTGCAGCAGCTGCTGCTGCCGCTGCTGCTGCTGTGGGTGGAGACAACGGAAGCCTAAGACTCCCAGGGCCAACGGGGAAGCAGCAGAAGTGTCTCCTTCACAGACGCGGCGCAGCGGGGACCTCCATCCACTTGCTTCTTTTGCTGCTCGCTGCAGCAGCAGCTGCAGCAGCAGCAGCGGGTCTGGGGGACAGGGGGGGGCCCCCCGCATGCAGCTCAATGCATATTTCTGTCTCCATTTGAGGCAGCGCCAAAACACCAGCAAACGAAAATGATGTAGAAACCAACGACGGTCAAAACGAGACAGATCCCTCCTGCTGCTGCTGCTGCTGCTGTTGCTGCTGCTGCTGCTGCTGCTGCTGCAAGTGGAAGTGAAACGCGCTGCTGCCGCGCCTTTGAATAACGCCGCCTGGGGTGCCGTTTGCTGCAGCCCGTCAGCCCTCTGCTGCTGCTGCTGCTGCAGCTGCTGCTGCTCACTAAGGGCGCAGCAGAACATCTGGTATATCTCTGTGGGACCCCCCAGCAGCAGCTGTCCCTGCAGCCCGGGCCAGCAGCAAATAAAAGCTGCTGCAGCGTCGAAGCAGCAGCGCGACGGGTCGCTTGAGGGGCCCCCACAATCTAACGCATACGTCCAGCCCCCCCGCTGCAGCAGCTCCTCACTCCTTGCTGCTGCTGCTGCTGCAGGGTCCCCAGCAGCAGCAGCAGCAGCAGCAGCAAGGGGAGGGTGAGAGACAGGGTAGCTGTAGAGACACCACAATTCATGCAGCCGACGGCGACTGAGCAGAGAAGGCGGCTTGGGGTTTGCTGCTGCAGTTGAGGGGCCTCTCATGTTCCCTGCTGCTGATGCAGCAGCGGGTGCTGCTGCAGCAGCCGCTCCTGCTGCTGATGCTGCATTTGCTGCTGCTGGTCCTGCTGCTGTTGCTGCTGTTGCAAGCCTTTTGGGGGGCTTGAACGACTTGCTGCTGGGGCCCTTCAGCCGCATTTGTTGCGGCAGCAAACCCCCTGCTGCTGCAACTCGCCGCGAAGCAAATGGCAGCTTCTGCACTGCTGCTGCTGCTGCTGCTGCTGCTGTTGCTGATGCTGCTGCTGATGGTGCTGCTGCTGCTGTTGGTGCTGATGCTGGAGACGAAGCTGGTAGTGATGGAAGCGCTGCTGGTGCTGCTGCCGCCGGTGCAGAGCTCGTTGCTGCAGGATTGCTGGACCCGCTGCTGCTACTGCTGCTGCACCCGCTGCTGCTGCTGCTGCTGCTGTCTGCATCTTGCAGCAGCAGACTGCGGGCCCTTGCAAGTGCTTCAGGGCTGAGCGTAACTTTCCTGCCTGAGGCGAAGGCGAATCCCGCAGCAGGAAGGGTTTGAGGTGCTGCTGATTGTGCTGCTGCATCCGGTGTGCTGCTGCTGTTGTTGTTGTTGTTGCTGCTGCTGCTGCTGCTGTCTTCTTCTTGCTGCAGCAGCAGGCTGCGAGCTTTCGCCAGAGCCTGCGGACTGATCTGCACTTTTCTGCCGGAAGCAAACGAAAAGCCTCCAAACTGAGCAGCACCACTTGCTGCTGCTGCTGCTGCTGCAGGGGAAGCTGTACTGCTGCTGCTGCTGTTGCTGCTGCTGCTGCTGTCTCCGTGCTGCTGCAGCTGCACGGTGCTGCGTGGTTGAGCTGATGATGCTTTCCCGGAAGCAGCAGTGCAATCGCCCCCTATAACGAGCGTCCCGCTACTGCTGCTGCTATTGCTGCTGTTGCTGTTGCTGCTGTTGCTGCTGCTGCTGCTGTCCTCGTCTTGCAGCAGCAGGTTGCGAGCTTTCGCCAGAGCCTGGGGGCTGATATGCACTTTTCTGCCGGAGGCAAAGGAGAAGCCAACAGCAGCGCGATCTTCAGTTGCTGCTGCTGCTGCTGATGCTGCTGCGGCATCACCGTCGCTGCTGCAGCAGGTGGTGCTGCTGCTGTTGCTGCTGCCTTCATCCTGCTGCAGCAAAGCTCTTGCTTTGAGCAGGGCCTCTTCACTGACACGAACAGGCGCGCCTGAGGCCAAGGAGAAACCGAGCATTGGCTGCGCTGCTGCTGCTGCTGCAGCAACATTGCTGCTGCTGCTGCTGCTGCTGCTGCTGCTGCTGCTGTCATCATCTTGCTGCAGCAGGGCGCGTGCCTTGGCGAGGGCCTCATCGCTGACTGCTGCCTTCTTTCCGGAAGCAAAGATGAAGCCACCAACAGGACCAGCTCCACCTGCTGCTGCAACGCTGCTGTTGCTGCTGCTGTTGCTGCTGCTGCTGTTGCTGCTGCTGCTGTTGCTGCTGCTGCTGCTGCTGCTGTCAAGGTCGTCCTGCAGCAAAGCGCGTGCCTTGGCGAGGGCCTCAGCACTCACCGCAGCGCTGCGGCCTGAAGCAAAAGAAAACCCAATCCGAGGAGACACCTCGTTGAATCCTGCTGCTGTTGTTGCTGCTGCTGCTGTTGCTGCTGCTGCTGCTGCTGCCGTTGCTGCACCTGGAGAGCCCCCCAGCCGCTGCTGCAGCTGCTGTTGCTGTTGTTGATGTTCCTGCTGCTGATGATGTGCTGACGTCCCTACCATCGGTGCTGCTGCATTTGCTGCTGCTGGTGCGGGCACTGATAAATCTGCTGCTGCTGCTGCTGCTGCGTCAGCGTCATCAAGCCACAGCAGCAGCTCGTCTTGGTGCTGCTGTTCTGATGCTGCTGCTGCTGTGGTGCCTTCACAAGCAACCGCAGCAGCAGCAGCAGCAGCAGCAGAAGGGGCAGCAGCATCACACTGATCCCCAATGTCCTCAAGACTCCACTCCAGAAAATCAGCATTTGCTGCTGCTGCTGCTGCTGCAACGATGTCTGCTGCTGCTGCTGCTGCTGCGGTGTCTGCTGCTGCTGTTGATGTGTCTGCTGCTGCTGCTGCTGCAGCCTCTGCTGCTGCTGCGGGTGAGGAGAGTCGTCTCCGTTTCGGCAGTTGTTCCTGCTGCAGCTGCTGCTGTTGCTGTTGCTGTTGCTGATGTTGCTGCTGTTGTTGCTGCTGCTGCAGGGCTTCTGCAGCACCATAGAGAATGTCGCATGCAGCCAGCAGCTCGTCCTGCTGCGAGGATGAAGGCAGTGGCAACAGGAGCTGCTGCTGCTGCAGCGGCTGTTGCTGCAGCGGCTGTTGTTGTTGCTGCTGCTGTAGCGGCTGTTGCTGCTGCTGCTGCTGCGGCTGTTGTTGCTGCTGCTGCTGCAGCTGCTGCTGATGCGGCTGCTGCTGTTTCCCACTGCTTTGCTGGATGTGCTGCTGGATATTATGCGGTTGCTGCTGCGGCCGCGGTTGCTGCTGCTGCTGTTGCTGCTGCTGCGGCTGCTGCTGCTGTGAGTGCTGCAGCTGCTGCAACGGCTGCTGCTGCTGCTGTGGCTGGTGCTGCAGTTCCCTGTGCTGCCGTTCTTGCTGCTGCCCCTGGTAAGATCCTTTCAACTGCTGTTGTTGCTGCTGCTGCCGCTGCAGCAGCAGCTGCTGCTGTTGCTGCTGCTGCTGCTGCTGCTGCGCATGCCTTAGTTGCTGTGGGGAATGTTTAATAAGCGGCTGGCTTCGAGGCAAGCAAGCACCAGATGCTGCCTGGTGCTGCCGTTCTTGCTGCTGCTGTCGTTGTTGTTGCTGCTGCTGTTGCTGCTGCTGTTGCTGCTGTTGCTGCTGTTGCTGCGGGATGGTGTGTTGATTTGGCGGTGTGCGCAGGTGGGAATGCTGCCTAATGCTTGAGGCCTGCTGCTGCAGCAGCAGCTGGTGCTGCTGTTGCTGCTGCTGCAACTGTCGTTGCTGCAGCTGTTGCTGCTGGTGTTGCTGCTGCAGCTGCTGATTCCGATGGAGGGGCGTTCTTGGGGGTGTGCTGATGGGCGGTGCTTTGCTGCTGCTGCATGCAGCAGCAGCAGCAGCAGCAGCAGCAGCAGCAGCAGCAGCAAAGCTTGCCGTATGCACATGTGGAGCGTGTGCTAAGCCACCATAGTCTGTCCACAGCTGCTGCTGCTGTTCTTGCTGCTGCTGCTGCTGCAACCTCTGGGGCTGGTGTTGCTGTTGTTGCTGCTGCGGGGGCGGGAGTTGCTGCTGCTGCTGCGGTGGCGGCGGCGTTTGGGGCTGCTGGTGCAGCTGCTGCTGCAGCTGCTGCTGCTGCGGTATTAGATGTTGTTGCTGCTGCTGCGGATGATGCTGCTGCTGGGTAGTGTGCTGAAGCCAAGCATGGGGTTGCTGTATCTGCTGCGCCTGCTGCTGTTGCTGCTGCAGCTGCTCTTGGTGCAGGTGCTGCTGCCTTCCCTGCTGCTGTAGCTGCTGCTGCTCTCCCTGCTGTTGCTGTTGTTGTTGTTGTTGTTGTTGTTGTTGCTGCTGCTGCTGCTGTAGCTGCTGCTGTTGCTGCTGTTGCTGCTGTTGTAGCTGCTGCTGTTGCTGCTGCTGCTGCTGCTGCAGGGGTTGCGTCTTAACGGGTGTGACTGAAGCAGGAGAAGTATCTGACTCCCACGGCTGAGACCACCTGCTGCTGCACGGTGCTGCTGCTGCAGCAGCAGCAGCAGCAGCCAATCTCCCTGCTCTCCAGCAGCCCGCAAAAGCATCTCCCCACGTGCCGTCATCGCGGCTCTCTGTTGCTGCTGCTGCTGCTGTTGTTGTTGCTGCTGCTGCCGTCTCGCTACTAAACCCAGCAGCAGCAGCAGCAGCCCCTTCATCACCCTCTGCTGCACCTGAGACAGCACCAGCAGCAGCAGGCACAGCGTCAACCGGATCTGCAGCTGGAGGAG